AGAGGCTTCAAGCCATGCCTGCTGTAGGCTGGCCAGTGCGCATGTGGCCACAATCCTCTTAAAAGGATGAAATGACATAATCCAGCAGGGGCTCCCCCCACCTCTGCTACCCTCCAGTCAAACATCTGGAAGCTAAGGGCAATCCCACAGCAAAGTGCAGGGTTGTTTTTGCTGGCTGGGGGGGGAGGTGGCATCCTCCCTCAGCCTGCTTGATCCTGCAAGGGTGGGAGTTGAGGCCTGACACAGCCCATTGCAGCTGCTACCACTACAGTTCTGGGTGCAACACCTAATCAGCTGGTTTTTGAGTGTGATTTTTCCCTCCTGTCCCCGAGCGTTTTGTCTGGTAGCTCTGTCCCTGGGATCCATGTCCTGCTGCATCTGTGCTCTCAGTCTCCCCAAAGCACCCACCACAAATTTCCAACCCCAGATCTCCTGCCCTGGGATGACCCTGGGCTTTGGAGCCGCTTTAAGCAAAGGCATGATTATTGTCTCTCTCCCCACGCAAACCCCCAGCTGGGAGAATTTGATCTGGCTTTCAGCATCCCAAACTGTCATAACATTGCCTAATCGAGATTACTGTTCAGCTCCCTAGCTGTGAGCACGCATGCCCACCTCCACCCTGCCTTCCCCACCCCGTCCTCATCATCTGCCCCCTCACCCCTTTCTCCTTCCTGCCCCCACTCCTGTTACCTCGGCTCCCACTTCCAGCTCGCCAAGTGCCCTGAGCACTGCATTGTATCCCCTTCACCCCATCTCTGCCATCACATATCCCTCTGAGTGCTTCTCCCTTTGGTGCCATCCCTACACGGCTGTCTCTCCATGGCTTCCCCCCAGCCTCTTTCCTTTCCCACCAATTTTGCCATCTTTGCTTTCCCCTCCACCCCCAGCCCACACACATAGCACCTTCTCCCTCTCTAAGGAGAAGGCCTTTAAACCCAAGGCTGCTCTGCTTTAACCACAAGTGCAATTTTCTGTCCACCGAGCGATAAACCAGCAGGGCTGCACATGGACACTTATAAATGAATTTGAAACCAGCTTAGCTCTGTGGAGCTCATGTTCATACAAGCCAACCTGTTAGCAGGCTTAAACCAGGAAGAAGCCCAGGTTTTAGCTACTATTTATGGTGGCAGTATCTGGCAAGGGTATTGTAACTTGTTGGGGGTTAGAAGATGAGGGGCAATTGCAATGCAGGCAGTACAGCTCCATGGCGGGGTGCCCTGTGGTGAGGAGGGCAGGAGAATGAGAAATGCGGGGTGGGGAGAAAGGAGAAGCCAGCAAGGAAACACCCGTGAGGGAGACGGCCCAACAGCTGCTCTGTCCCATGGCCAGGCCGCCGCCTCCGCAAACAGTTGACCCAAGCCCCTTTCTTCATTCCCGTCTGCCTGGAAACCCTGGCTCAGTGCTGGTGCCAGAAGCAGCTGGGGCCCTGACAGCCCAAAAGCCAGGGCTGCTCTGCTGAGGTTTTTGGGGGGCTTTTTTGGAGGGGGAAGAGCTCTCAGGCCTGGCCAGATCTCCATGTGTGCCCTGGACCCCCTAATCCAGCACTGCTGTGCCCCCAGCCCCAAAGAGTCCCTGCCCCAGAGGGATACCCCTGTTTATCCTCCCCGAGCCCCTGCACACTCCCTACTCCCGTGGGCTTCCCATCCTAAGAGAGGCCTGCTCACTCACTCCCCCAGGGTTTTCCTGCTTTGGCGGACAGGGCAACAGCCTTTGCCCCAGAAGGCTGCCATGTCCCAGAGGGGGCACAGGGTGGGAAGGAAGGGGTGTGGGGGCTTCCACTTCCCAGTTGCCATGACAGTCCTTTTAGGTTCCTATTTTTCATTTGTTTTTTATGGAAATCCCCAGCGGGAAACAAGGCGCCCATAGTCCGCATAACCATGGGAACGACCTCCGGCCCAGCCAGGCACAAGAAGCCTGGGAGCTGCTTAATGGCTGCATTGTTGGTCCCCTTTGTTCCCGCAAAGGAGCAGG